ATCAAATTTTCAAACCTGAGTTTAATTAGGGTTAAGGTAAAACCTTATGTCGGGTAGTTTATTAGTGGCTGGCATTAATTATTTTGATCCAATGTAAAATTTTTAATTCGACGTATAACGATATAAATTTTAGTTATATAAAACTTTGAATTTTGTAATTAAATATTATTAGCCGTTATTAGCCGGCTGATTAGACTATCAGCTAGCTAAGCGGCTAAGTGGCTGGCTAAGCGGCTAAGTTAATCGGCTTGGAACACTATAATTTACATTCAAAAGAATTTTTCTACAGTACCGGACAGCATAAGACATCCACTCTATATATATAGAGCGCCTGCTTATATAATCAATTCTGATTGGCCAATTTTGATGTGATTCATTCTAATTGGTTAATTAAACATATATACTTTCTTTTTTTTTATATTAAACGCCAATTTTTCAAATCATTATAAAGTATAACTTAATAACTTCTTTAAACCAAAAAATAATAGAAAATCCTCCGAAAAAATGTAGTTTGGCTAAATATCTATCAATTTGTCGGAGGGTTTTTTTATTTAACTTGTTTTAAAAAAGTTATAACGGTTTAAAGTTTTTATTAATAAAAAGTGGATGCGTTTTGCTGTCCGGTACTATAGAAGTATCGACACTTCAAGAACAATGAACCCAGTGATCATCACATCATGTGAAATCGTGAAATCAGAAATGACGTCATTTGTTTACTAGCACTAACAAATTGGCCTAAAGTATAACCTAACACTAACCCTAACTTAGGCCGAGTGTTTAATCATGTGATGTTATTAACACGAGGATACCACTGGGTACACTGTTCTTGAAACTACCCTCATTTTCTGCGAATCGCTTCTAACTATTATATTGATTCACACGAAGTAATATATCAGAATCAATTTTAAATTTTAGATACGTAACTGATTTTTATGGAGGTAGCTTTAACGCAGTGCCATAAACAATCGCTTCATAGACAACTTATTCACAAACAATTAACTACAGACAAGAATATTTTACAGACGATTAATTTACCGACAAAAGTAATCATAGTCATTATATTTAGGTTTAGAATTAGAGTTAAGGTTAGTGTTGTTTATAAAAAAAAAGATGTCGGTGAAATGAGCTGTCAATGAAATAAACTGTCGATTTTCTGCTTTAGTCGGACGAATACAAATATCGTTTCCATTGGACAAACCCAATTATATCACTGATCAGGATGATTAAAAATTCATCTAATGCGCCGCAATTAAGAATAAATTATTTCTCTAATATTATTTCATAATTATTACACACTGATTAGATTTTTTTAAAATAATATTTCTTTTCGTTGTTTAATACTAATGTTTTCTTTTGTGTTTATCACTTTCGAGTTTTTTAACGTTAAATAAATTTTCGCCAATTTGTCGAATATTACTTTAAAAATTTACGTATCTGTAAATTTTTAATTAAAACAAACGTACCTGCTTTAAGTCATACTGCTATACGAAAATCTGAAAACAAAATAAGTATTAATTTTTTTTTTTTTTTGTAAGTGTATGTAAATTTACTAATTATTTGGTAACTTAACGTTTATTTTCAGTATAACTAATTAGCAAACTAGCTCCTATTGCAGTATTGTATCAGGGTCACTTTACGATTTCCGAAAGCTATTTTCCTAAAAGAACATAATACTGACTAATTATTTCTTTCGGAAAAATGTTTTTCGAGAACTTGAATTACATTATTTTATTAATATTAAAGCAAACCCTATTAGTTAGCAATTTGCACCAACATTTTATTTATTTGCAGTATTGTATCATTATCAATAAAAATAAACTGACAATTATTTTTTAAACGAAAGTAAGAATATAGTTAAGGAATTTTGAAGCAGAGTTGGGTATATTTAAAATTACAAGCTTGTAAACGTAGATCACAGTAAAATTTTATTTTCTTGAAAGGTTCGATTTTTTGATTTTTTTACTAATTATGGAAGCATAAATCAAATACTTTCGCTTAATAAGAATTTTTTTATTTTTATTTTTTTATTGAAGAAAAATTAAACAGTTTTTGATTTTGTGCGGCGGCTATGCTAAGGTGGCGTGATATTGTTTATCCAATAATGACGGGACGGGATTTAATGCGTCCAATCACAACTTGGGGGAGAAATTAGGCCGCATTAGTCAATTATTAGAAATTGCGTTACACGAAAAATTAGTAATTCGGAAAATTTATAATTTTGTTTATCACAATGAATTATATTTGTATTATACATACTATATTATACTTTATTTACCAACCGTAAAGTGCCGGAGTTTCGGGGATAGAACCGACGTACAAAATTCTTTGGATTTTCGTTTATAGATATGAACATACAAAAAAAGAATAGTGGTACCGATTATGTTTGGATTATCAAAGATATTGCGAAGTAATATATGTTATACAATCAGAAATAAATTAATTTTCCTATAAGAATTCTTTTAAATAAATTATCATAAATTAAATTATAAAGTTTAATAATGCTTATTATTTAATCTATTATCGGGTATTTTATACCTTATAACATGATAAAGAAATTTTTTTGTTAACCATAATCGAATATTTTTAGTCGTTTGCTTAATTATAAATTCTTATACAGACAATGTTTTAATGAAATTTTGCCCATGAATCATAACTGCATTAGTAATCACAAGTGCATACTTTTGTTTCAAATTACGGCTTGAATTAAACTTAATTCTATCGATTATTCAAAAAAAAAATTTAGAACATGTTTTCCTGTTATTTCTCAACAATAGAGATATTGTCTTAAAGTAAAAAATCATTAATTTGATTATTGAAGCCGTATTGGTTTGTAAAACAACTGTGTCTAACATTAAAATCGAGTTTTCCGCTATTGACAAAAGTTTTTGATAAGAATTAACATTACCTAATTTATATTTAATTTTTATTCAACGCTACACAAAAAATATAGAAGAATAGATTTATATTGATTAATTATTTGAGAATGATATATTATTATCTCTAACTTTATTTTGAAAAAAATTGGGCAAATTACAAATTGTTCAATTTGCGATTAAAAACCTATACTGTCGCAAATCATAAAAAGTAACCGCAGTTAATTCATTTGAACGCCAAAGTGTTTATATTTAGACAAATACAGTCAACAACAATAAAGGTTGATTACAGCTGATAGGAAATATTTATTTATATTTTTCGATGTTTTTTTAATATTTCTATTTTTGTATATCGTATGTTAATGTAGATTATCGAAATCAAAGTATTGAAAGAAAACGTAGGAGATAACAAAAAAAGAAGTATAATGAAAGAGTAACTTAATTCTTAAACTTTATACTTTCGCGAATATTGTTAATAAGGGAAGAGCCGTTTATTTGTAATCTCTTTTTATTACAAAGTCATACCCCCTCCCCCTCTGTGATCTAATTAGCAACCAATCATAATTTTTTATATATTATATATATAGACGTGATGGACTGCGAACTCCCCCCTCTTTAAATTACGTATTAAACGGCACTCCCCTAATCGAATTATCTAATTTATTCGATGAGTGTTACTATTATTAGTTCAATGGTCATGATTTTTAAATTCCGTTAATAAGTGGACACGCGCTTAAATTATTTGTTTATATTTACATTGTGTTTTAAGAATTCAATGAATAGTTTATGTTATACGATACAGTTCTTAAATAGTACTTGAAAAAAAGAAAAAAATATTGATACTCAAAATTAGAAATATATAACGTATTTAAGAAATTCATTCAGATGACGCGCTTTATATTTAAAGTTTAAGTCCGTATGTTTATCTATTCATTTTTATCGATTGTTTGTTTCTTAGTAATGCTAATACTATAAATATGCGACTACTTTACCCATCCATGAAATTTAGGTTTTGCACACATACATTTTTTTTAAGAAAAAATCAAGCAACATCCTTTTTTCATAGCAAAATGAAGGTACCATTGACGAAAAATGAATCATATAGTAAATATTCATGGAAAGAAAAAGTAGAACGACAATTATCCACTGCAAGAACTAAGTTTGGTGATGGAGAGTCTGAAGAACCTATGAGCGATTACGGTAGTGATATTGGATATTATGGTGAGGCAACACTTGGAGAACAGAAGTTTCAATTACTTTTCGACACTGGTAGCGCAGACTTATGGGTTCCGCGAATAAATTATAATCATGGGATGAAAACTACCCATAACACATTTGACCCAGATAAATCACCAACTTTTAAAACTCATAATAAAAAATTTTCAATTACTTATGGAAGTGGAAATACTTCAGGAATTTCTGCAACTGACACATTTAAAATTGCTGGATTTACCATCAAAAATCAAACTTTTGGTATATCTGACGTAGTTTCTTCTGACTTCACTGACGGGCCATTCGATGGTATTCTTGGTTTGGCACTTGATAGCCTAAGCTCATTACATGCTAAAACTCCATTCCAAAATTTAATCGATCACGGTGATGTTAAATCTCCTGTATTTAGTTTCGTACTTGGTAGTTTAAAAGATGGCACAAATAGAACAGGCAATGAGCTCATTTTTGGTGGAATTGATCCCAAATATTCCGATAGTATCTCTTATAACAGCCTTGATACTAGTAACGGGTTCTGGCAAATTGTCATGGATGATGCTCTTGTGAATGGAAAGTCACTAGGATTAGAAGGAAAGTCGGCCATTATTGATACCGGTACAACTCTTGTTATCGTTCCACCACAAGATGCCGAACTTGTCCATAGTTTTATTCCTGGCGCACAAAATAGTGATGGAACATATTTAATTCCAACTGATACTACAGCTGTAGTATCTTTAACCTTTGGTGGAGTTACTTATAATATCAAAACAGAACATTTAGTTGTTGATGACGCAGGAAATGGTCTAAGCGTTTCTGGTATCCAAGGTGGAAGTGTAACTGGATCTGATGACGTGTGGTTAGTTGGTGATGTATTCCTTAAAAATGTATGTAGTGCATATGATGTCAAAAACCGTGCTGTAGGTTTTGCGCCATTGTAATAATGGTTAGCGTGAAATTTCGCCTACATAGTTCACCATTCATTATCTTTTTCATATATATAAATATTTATTTTTTTTAGTTATTGATTTATGATTGATTTTTTTTCTATTCATTCAATTTACAAATTAAATATTATCTTCATTTTTCTGTCCTACTTTTGATCAAAGGAATGAATTATTTTATTGTTAGCAGTCATTCTATCAATATATTTTTTAGTAAATAGCTTAAATCAGAAATGTTCTACATAGTTTGTCTTATTCTTTATTATTAATATTAGCAAAACTTAGTGAATAACGAATTAAATAAAGGCAATATCTAAATACACAAGTTTAAGTAAAGAATTAATTTTAACGCATCTGAAATTTTTTTTTATATCTATAATAAATATCAAACATAGGCCATACAAACTTGATAAATTGGTTCTCATAACCTGGCTGGGTCAAATTCTGCAAAATTTATTGGCTATATTTACTATTCGGATTGATTTTTTTTAGATGTCTACAAAAAAAATTTTATATGTTTTTTGTATATAAAATAAAACCCGGATTATTTTTAAATTTTTATGAGAACCAAGAAATTAACTTTGTGTGGCCTTAGCTTGGTGCATTTAAAAATTGCCAGAAAAGCAATTTTATTTATGGTTAGTATAAATTCTATTTTTTTTTTAATTTGTTAATACGTATATAATCAAATATACTCTTATTTTATTTTTGATTTCAGAATTTCAAGTAGAAATAGGTTTTTTTAAACTCATTATTTTTGAAACGCGTGTTTTGAAATAAAAGAACAATAATTCTTTTCAGCGACATCATCACCCTTGACAAATTTTATAATACAGTCAACTCTCTCAAGTGCATTTCATCGGGACCGGACTTTTAGCAACTTGCATTTAGAGAACAATTAAGAAAAATTGCATTTATAGAGACAAAATGTATATCAAACATATACTTGGGCCCGAAGTTAAAGTTGCATTTAGAGAAAAGTTGCACTTAGAGGGGTTGCACTTAGAGAGAGTTGACTGTAATAGAAGATTTCAAAATTAAGCTTTAAGTATTTATTTCAGTTAAAATAGATGATTTCTGATCAAGTTCTCCGTTCTAGTTCACAACTCATCAATAAAAGAGAATAAACGTATTAACATGCACGTATAACTCTAAGTAAATAAAATAAATGTTATATGACTATATGTATCGTCATATATATTTAGCGTTTGCCTTTTCATAACTAAAAATCACCATTATCTATAGTTGTTAGGTGAAACCCTTTACACAAAATGACGAAAGACGAAATCTAAAGCCGAAAGACGAAACCCCAGTACTCTCGCTAAAAAAAAAAAACAATAAAAAAACAATAATTCATATACTGCCAAATGACAATGTTTTGGCTAAGAAACATATCAATATAAGCTAAGCGATTGATAAAAATAAACCTACCGTATTTTTGCGAAATAACGCTCATGAATGTTATTTAGAACCATGGCATAATTTGAGCTAAATTTTGAAATTACACGTCTGCACGTTATTTTGTGAAAATACAGTAGTACGTCTTATACATTTTGTATTTAAAAAAAAACATTATTTTAAAATTTGAGGCTTTTATATACCGTAGGAGATTTTTTGGTTTGACCCAGCTTGTATATTTGGTGTAAAAGCTAATTACAAGAGTTATAAATAGTTGAATAAGCCATTTACATCTCTCAAATATTTAAGTAAAAAATGTTTATACTACATCGTTATGGTGAATTTTATCTGATTCAAAAGTTTTTTCATATAAAACTTTAAGACACTGCATTAAAGTTTAAAAATTAATGACTCTAAGATTTGTTGAAAATTTTTTGATAAACAATATTAATATGCAAGTTAAAAAAATAAAGCTTGTAAGAATTTACATATTATCATAGTAAGTTTATCTCTCTGAAATAGAAGTGCGATCCGAAAACCATTAGTTAATATAAATAAACTGTAGTTTATTGTAAAACTGTAGTTTTAAAATAAACTACAGTTTATTTATATGTACTGTAATTCACAGTTCACATCTCTAATCTGAAATTCTACATTAAGCATTCATAATCGGCATTCTTATAGCAACATCAATATTAAGTTTACATAATAAAGTAGCTGTGCAATAAGAACGAATGAATCAGTAAATTATATTATCCGGATTTTTTTTCTATAATTTAAGAATAGCTAATAGCTAAAAATTTTTAATGAATTTTAGTCTAAAAGAATGTTACAATTCATTGCATTGATTTGAGATATTCATCCCTAATTTCACAATGAATGCGTCATCAAATAATGATCTCGATAACAGATGTGCATTTTTTGATGATTTTGGATTTAAATTGATATTTCGAATCTTAGTATTCATTTAAGCCAAAATCATCGAAAACATCCTCGAATTACTGATAATGAATGATCATTTTCTTTTTTGTAAATTTGATTTTGAACTGGTGATCTGTTTCTTCATTTTGTATTATGTCATGACAACGGGTCATTTAATTTTGTAGTGGTGATTTTTTTTGATCTACAAATTATGCATCTTCATACAGTAGATTTCACAAAAAGCCATCGCCTTTTAACTACTAAACTTTTTATATTGATAAAGCTTTTTAAATACAAGAGATATTTTAAAAAGCTTTTGTATATTTAATAGCTTTTTGCTTATACTATTAAATCTTCAAAAAAAATTTAAAATATCTTTTGTTTTTAGAAAGTTATACCAGCCTAAATTTATGTATAGTATAAATCTTTGCGTTTTTATATATACCGTATGAGCGCGAAATAACATCCGTGAGCGTTATTTTGAAAATCGAATCCTTTGAAAATAACTTATATAGTCGTGAATTAAGTTCATCCTAATGTAACACATAGTTTATCGTCACGACAAATGATATACAGCCGACACGCCATATGCGCACTTTCTATAAATGCACTCCACATTGAGATGGCCTGGCAACCAAGTAAATCAAAACTATATATGGTATTATACAAAAATTTGTTATAAAATTTTTCGTATAACTTAATATAGACTTCATTATTATAATTTTGAACAAATCGATAGGAGGTCTCTACAATCCAAGTTACAGTGCCAAATTTTATACTTATAAAGTTAATGGAATAGAAGAGTCAATTGGCGTTAAAATTTTCTGCAGTCTGTTCATCTAAAAAAAGTACTCCAATTATATATATATATATGTGGGGATTTTTTGCCTTGAAAATGGCCTTACACTAGAAATTTTTTTTGAGCAAACAGTAATTAAAAGTCGTGTAACCAAAACAACCCAAATTTGATTTACCGCTAATTTTAGATATGCTGATCGTCGATTGGATAATAACTAAAATTTGTGTAACGATGTCTCGTAGGGTCATTTTCAAGGAAAATTTTTGGTAGTACAAATTAATGGTAAAATATTTACCCACCATTTCCATTCCATTCTATTTTTAGATCTTCAAAAAACTTTCCAATTCAAAGATCCGAGCTTCAATAACTTAATATTATGTTAATAGGCTATAAAATTTTTACTTTATGTTTTGTAGATTAATATTTAACAAACATCTCATTTTTGGTTTGGGGACCCGAAACTATATTTTCAAGGCAAAGACCCAAATGCTTACTGATTAATCCACGGGGCGAATGATGGCAAATCAGGCTCCAATTGGTATCTTGCAATCTCGATATGAACCTGATTAGAAATACATATTTGGTACAAATAGGAGACCTTTAGAATACAAATCGGGTCCAACTACATATCGGAATGCCGATAGCTCTATTGTAAATCGATAATGCTTGTTTTATAGATTTATCGATTTACCAATAGAGCTATCGGCATCCTGATATGTGGATCTTTGCTAGGAAAATCACCCTTCAGGATTTTCCGATCGGGCTAATTCGGAAAAGCTTAGACCAAAAGGCCAGTTCTTATTCATATGTAAATCACCTTTTGTTTTATTTATTTGATAGTTATTAAATAAACTGTCTAATCAGTAAAGTAAAAAGATGCTTTACATATGAATAAGAACCGATATTCTGGTCTAAACTTTTCCGAATAAGCCCGATCGGAAAATCCCGAAGGGTGATTTTCCTAGCAAAGATCCTATGTATTGATCGCCTATATGAACCCTATTTGTATCTTAAAGGTTTCCTATTTGTGCAGATATCTGTTTCAGATTTATATCGGGATTGTATGATGCTGATTGGAGCCCGATTTGACTTCATCCGACATGTGCATACCGATGAAAAAATTGCACAAGCTCAAATATTAGTGGCACATATGGTTTTGATTTACTTAGTTGACAGTCCACCTCAACTTCACATGCGCTTTCCCTATAATGATAAGTGCACATAATTTGATCGGTCTAATATGTAGATTGTTCCCAAAAATTAATATTCTATAAATGCACTTTTACTCAACAACGTGCATTTATGGAAAGTTGGCTGTATTGGATTTAGAAAATCCACTCATATTACAAAATAACGCTCATGAACGTATTCAAAATAGCGCGTAGATCAATTAATTGGCGTACAGGTGAGTGTTATTTCGTGGTAACAAAAGTAGATTTCATAGTTTGAATGAAGGTAAATCGGGCCCCAACAGGCATTATGTTATCCCGATATGAACCTGATTTGAAATAGATTTTTAAGATACAAAATCTGATACATATAAGCTCAATACATATCGGAATGCCGATTGGTAAATCGATAATGCTATAAGGTAAGCTTATAGAAAGAAATTCGGTTGATTTGCGTAGATCAATTGCCAAGGTAACTTATTTTATATGATTTAAAGCACTTTTGAGAACGTGATGTTTCACCAACAAAAATTTACCGCAAACATCATTAATTGCTTTAAAAGACATCTTCGTTCACAGTGCAAAAGGATCCAGAAAAAAATTCACAACTCGAAAGACTTTACTTAGAAGATAAAATATGCTTACCGTTTATTAGACCATACCAAATTATACCGTATAGGCGTGTAATAACGCGCAGGGGTGCGTTATTT